TATTTTGTATAAATACAAGTGGAATAATTTTCTTCGTTTTGCCACTGCCAGAAATCTCCAGACTTCTCCAGTCTCCCTACAGACTTTACTCCTGTATCTCAAACATCTTTTTGATCTCGGCCTTACCTTGTTGACTCTCAAGGTGTCCATTTCTGCAATAGTCTCTTTCCAGCCCAGAAACTCAGAATCTTCATGTCTCTTTTCTCATCCTACGTTGAAAGCATTCTTAAAAGGACTGATCAACATTTGCCCTTCTACAAGGATTCCAGTACCTCAGTGGTCCCTTACATTGGTTCTGCAATCATTCATGAAGCATCCCTTTGAGCCTATGGCTTCGTGTGATGTTAAGTTTCTTTCTCTAAAGACTCTGTTTCTAGTTGCAGTTATGTCAGCTAGAAGAGCAAGTGAGTTGGCAGCTCTAAGGTCTGATTCTCCTTACTTGCAATTCTAAAAGGACAAGGTTATGTTGTTTCCAGATGTTTCATTCCTGCCTAAAGTTGTTACAGATTTCCACCTCAATCAACCTATTTCGTTACCTACCTTGTTTTCTGATCCTTCGTCTGACATTGAAAAGATGCTCCATTCCCTGGATGTTAGAAGAGTGTTAGCATATTATGTTTCTAGGGCAAAGGACTTTCAGAAATCTGAAAGACTCTTCCTGTGCTTTTTTGGACCACACGGTGGCTCATCTCCACTATTACTCTTGCCTATCAACTTGCAAGTAAAGATGTGCCTGAAGGTCTTAAAGGACATTCCACAAGGTGCATGGCAATATCTACTGCCTTACTATGTGGTGTGAACATCCCAGACATCTGCAAGGCAGCTACATGGTCCAGAGTGTCCACATTTGTCACCCACTACAGACTGGACCTTCGGGCAAAGAACGAGACGAGTTTTGGAAGGGCTGTCTTGACATCTGTCCTACAGTGACGGCCCTCCTTCCGGTAAGTTAGCTTGCCAGTCACCCAAATGTGTGATTCACAGAGGCCACAAAGAGGGGTTACTTATCTGTAACCATGGTTCTTCAAGTGGATCTCTGTGAATTCACACATCCCCACCCAGCTTCCCCACTATCCATCACTGCTTATGTTATAATGAGCTCTTGCTCTAGCAGTGGCGGATAAGGGGAACTGCAAGCTGGGGGGGAATGGAGCATGCGTGTAAGGGGCAATCTAAACTATGTATCTTTTCGGAAAAAGCTCTAGAAGATTCCGAAGTTCCAACGCAGGCACTGTTTAACCCAAATGTGTGAATTCACAGAGGTCCACTTGAAGAACCATGGTTACAGGTAAGTAACCCCTCTTTTTCCATGCATATGATATCAGTATCAATCAATACCAGATATCAAGAGGCGTCTCTCACACACATTCATCCAATGCTTACACCAACTCTGAAGTCCTACAGTTTAATGGAAGTTGTGTGCTTTTGCTGTCTCCTGGTGATCAGCCATAGACATGTAAAGTGTGGGTGTCCATTGCAGCTTTGCTTGGGAACACACCAGCCATATAAAAATCCATGATTTTTATAGCAGGGAGTAAATATGTTGACAAGAAGTTTTGGATGAGTCATTTTGCAAATCCTGGTTTTCTCTTAGGATCCTTGGCCCAAAACCGATTCTTATTTTCATGTCTAGATATCGGTTTGTAGATACACTGTTCTAGGGCCTCTCAATTATTCACATCCTTAGCTTGTTTACTCCTTTTTCTCATGCCGCTTACTTCAGCTTTTTCCATGGCTTTACTGATGCACATCTCCATTCTAAAAATGCAATTGTCATTCTCCATTTTCTTTAAGTCCTTGATGCAGGGTCCAGTCTGGAACCCACTCACATTCTCACACACTGGTGGTACCAGACCACAAATTCTGGACATCCTCCTTCAGTTTTTTCATGTATATATGAAAAAGTATGGGGAATCATGAAACCTGAGACACTCCATAGTCAAGGCGTTGAAAAGGAGTCCCCCAGCACCACTACCATTCACAAAGTGACAGCACAAAGGAAAACACCAGAAGCTAACTCCTTTTTTCATCAGTTAGCCATTTCTCATCCATGTGCATGATGTTGTGCAGCAATATTGGGCATTTTTTCTGGCTTTTTGAATTGTGGGTATAGAAGCAAATTCATAAACTGGAGGTTTCTTGAAGAAGTGAATTTTGGAGACCTGGTTGGGGAAAGGTGGAGAAAACAGTCTTTCCCAGCTCTGTTCTCTGTAATGTGTGCTGCAGCAGCCTAGACCTTGGGGTTTGGGTTGGGAGATGGAGATGCCATAGTCTATTGTGATTATGTCCCCCTTACCCAGTGCCTTACCACATCATTTTCTGGGTTTGAGTGTGTGCGTAAAAGTGAGTACCCAAGCACAGAACAGAGATTCTCTTAGCTGTGGGCTTGATCACTACTAAGTGTCCCTTCCTGTTGAGTAGACCCAGACAAAACCCTTGGTTTACCAGGGAGCTGGTGGCAATGAGATGGGATGGCAGAAATCTTGGAGTGACTGACTGAACATGGGCTAGAGCTGTTTAGAAGGGCTATTCTATGCCAGTGCCTGCATCAAAGAAAGGATTCTTCTTTGTGGTCTCCATGCATGCACACAATTTAATGCTCTGCACCTGCAAAGATGATCCTGTGGAATGTTCCAGAACCTAAGCCTCACTTCTCTTCTCTGTAGCCTATATGTGCAAGCTTCATCCACTCCCCTCAATGCCTCTTTTGTCTGTTGCTCTATATAGATCCTCTCTGTCTCTCTGAAGCCTAAAGGGAAGAAATTAGTTTGTATTTCTTCTCAAACTTACCCTTCTTTTATAGTTTTTTCTCTTCTTTACTTAGTAGCCTATTTTTTTAAAAAAAAAGAGAGAGAGAGAGACGCTTTAGTTATAGTAGCAACATTTTTCGTCTCCCCCCTCCCCCCCTTAGATTCTAAGGATTATTCTCAGCTGCTTATGGTCTCCACAGCCTTAATGAAATTTTGTTCATTAAATACCACAAACTGACAGTAATGATAAAGTCCATTGGAGCTGTTTTGAGTGGTCAGAGCTTAATACATGCCTCATTAAAAGAACAAGAGGCTGACTAGTCAGCAGTCCACTGGACAAATTTGCATGACACTTTGCAGGCGAAGTTGCTCAGATCTGCTCTGACTTGTAAACTACTGTATAATTGACGGAGATCCTGTAGATGTAACTTTGGCCCACACTTGTCCCATTATAATTACGTTTCAATTAATGCAGCCTGAGGATGTGGACAAGATTTTTGGAGACATGGAACCCCACTTGCCTTTCCTGTCTTATAAAAACAGCCAGAGGAGGACTGATTAAGTGGATAAGGGGAGTAGTGTGAATCCTAACATGTTTAAAAGAGGCAATAATAAGACCATTACTTTAAAAGTCCTCCTGGAATTTTTTTTCCTGGACAGCTATCAGCCAGACTCAAATACTGCATTTTTGGCTGCTGGAGTGTGTGGTGGTTTCTCAACTACAGGGATTCCTGGATGAAGTGGATTATCTAGACTCATTTCAATCTAACTTCAGGCCTGGCTGTGGGATGGAGACACCTTTGGGCACTGTGGTGAATGACGTATTCTAGGACCTGGACTGGAGAAACATTTCCCTTTGGTTCTCTGGACCTCTCGGAGGATTTCAATACCATCATGATATTCTTCCTCTGGGATGGGACTTGGAGGCACTATTTATAGTGCTTCCGGTGCGGGAAGAATTCAGAGGGTGCTGCTGTGTAACTCCTGTTTGATGCCCTGGCTGTTGGCCTGTGGCATCCCTCAGGGTTCTGTTTTGTTCTCTGTGTCATTTGACATGTACATGAAACTGCTGGGAGAGGTTGCCCAGAATTTAGGAGTTTGGTGTCACTATAGTATACTGAGGACACTCAGCTCATTCCTTTCCCTCTAATTATATGGGAGCTGTCTTGATTGTTGACTAGTGCTTGGCATCAGTAAAGGGCTGAATGAGGTAAAAAAAAATTGAAACTTAATTCAGAGAAGACAGAGGTGCTTCTGGTCCATCGAAAGTCAGATGAGGGAATAGAGATGCAATGTCTGCTGAATAGGGTTACACTCTGGAACATTCAGATCTGCAGATTGAGTGTACTCCTGGATTCACCCCAAGCCTAGATGCCAAGGTTTTGGCAGTGGCCAAAGTGCATATGCACAAATTAAAACTCATTCACCAGCAGCTTCCATTCTTTGTGATGTCTGATTTGGCTGCAGTGACACATACCTTAATTATATTCTGGTTGGTTTACTGCAGTATGCTCCACATGTGTCTTCCTTTGAAGACAGTTCAGAAACTGGTTCAAAATGTAGCTGCCAGATTGCTGACTGGGGCCAATAAAAGGGAGCATAGCTGGCTCCATTCAGCTGCAACTACTGCACAGGCTATCAGTTCGTTTCCAGGCCCAATTCATAGTGCTATAATTTTCTATACAGTTTATCTGAAAAACTGTATCTCCTCGTCTGAACCTTCCCATCCATTTTCTCAACGTCATTGTTACTGAAGGCATGGTTGATGGGGACACAAAAGGGAGTCTTCTGTGTGGCTGCTACCAGTTTGTGGAATGCTCTCTCTTGTGACATTATGTTGCCCCTCTCCTTTTTATTCTGCTGATAGTTGAAGTCTCATCTCTTCAAGCAGGCTTTAATAACTATGACTGAGTTCCTATGTGCTAGTCTTTTACTTTTTAACATTTGCTTTTATCATTTATATGTTTTTAAATTACTGATTGGATTTTTAATTAGTAGTGTAGTTCAATTGCTTTTTAATCAGTAAATTATTGTTTTTAGTTTTACCTGTTTTAACATTGTGAGGCACCTTGAGTCCCTTAACTATAATAAAGGCATCCAGTTTACAGTTTCATGTCATTAGCATCTAGATAATATGTTTCTCTTTTTATCACATCTAGTTCGGCTCTCAGTGGTGCACTTGTTTGTGAACAATGAGATAAAACATATCTTGTTTCTGTTGTATTAATTGTTTATTTTCTTTTTTACTAGGTACTAGAGCTGGTATGAAGTGTTCTGTCTCTCAAAGCTTTGAAAACTTCACCCTGCTTTCATCTGGGATTCTCAGTGGGCACAGAACTAAAGCTAACTTGTTCTTCTTTCTCTAAGTTTCTTTTCATTTATGGACAGTCTTAGGACATCATGTGACTCCAGGAGGTACCAGTGAATTCAGTACCACCAACATTAATTCCACAGACTTTGCTGCTGCTGATTCTATTGCTTGTTTAATTTTTATGATGGCAGGAGGGAGAAAAGAATTCTTTTAAATAAAAGCAGATTCAGAAAAAGAAATAATAAAACTTCATTGAGCCACAAATGGAAGCAGAATATATATTTCTTGTTAATGGATATGGTGACAAGTTTGCCCTTGTAGCAGGATTTGCTTAGAGGCTTTGCTTTGGAGTAACCCTCTGGATGACTACTGGGCCCACTAGAGGGGGGAGAACCTCTCTAATCCTGTCTAGAACACCTTCAGCATGTCTCTTTTTAATTTGCGGCCCTGAAGTAAAATGTATTTCAACCTCTTCTTTTTCTTTTTTTAATGAATTATATGTTTATAAAGTTTACCACACAAAAGACTGAAAATTCTTTGCAGCCAATGCCTCTATTCTAATAACAAGGGACCATTTTTAAAGATGTGGATACAAATTGCTCTCCAAGTCCACCTATTTCTTGGCCACCTCTCTTGTTTGCTAGCTGTGTAAGGGTGCCATCCGTCATATGTACAGATCACAAACTGTCAATAAATAATTACTTCCTGGCTGTTTTTTTTTTATTTTAGTTATATTGAAATTGTTCAATTGGAAATAGAAGGCAATAATGCCTGTCCCTATGTAATCTAATTTGTTCATTCCCAACTATTCCATCCCCCATTTGTGTCACTTGTAGAAGCCAATCATTTTGAATGTTGTAATATATTTTGGGGACCCAGGCTATGGTAGCCTTATTTTTTAATAACCATGCATACACTTAATTGTACAAGTGGAGAGAATGGGGAAATAAACTGTGATTTCAAATGTTCCATATTGTTAATTTGTTATCTGAAAAGTAAAAGCTAATTTTGTGGGATGGGTTCTTGGTACCAGTCATAATATAATTCCTAATACCATGGCTTTAAACAATTTATATACTTTAAAATATATAAGGCTGCAGTGCTTAATCAGTTAATTGATTGGCTCAATCAGTTCATTAAAAATTCAGTAGATTTAAGGAGTGCTTCCATTCAATTTCACAGATTTTTTTAAATGGTTCATTTAAGTATCCGTTAAGATGTAGATGATAAGAATAAAAAGGAACTAGTCCTTCTTTTCTACTACACAGGAAGAAATATGTCTTCAGAGATTATGCCTTCTTCACTAGAGTGCAGGTGTGCATTAACAAAGAAATAAGACTTGCATCAGAAAATTGATGCTCATACACAGATCTGATAGATGAACTGCCTATAACATATGATTGAGATTATTTCGTTTAAATCTAATTTCTCCAACCAAATTAACAGTTTTAGGGGAAAGGAGGTGTCAGCATGTGGATAACACGCTATTCTAAAAACACATCAAAGATGAAATTCTGAGAATCCAATCTTCTAAGTTAAAAATAATAATAAAAAGTTTGTTTCTCACAGTCATGGTTGAAGAGAATTTTGTATGTGTGATTCCTCACTCCACCTCTCCTTGTTCAAAAGAAAAGAAATCAACCAATGTAAGCAAACACGGCGTTCGAAAACGTCCACGTAAGCCTGGACAGAGAGTAATCAGGAGTTTGCACACGCTAAAATAGGCTGAGTGAGTCCAAGCTCAGCTAGCCATGCTACAACACTCCATCTTACAGGTCTGCCCACATAAGTTACCCTTGTGCCCTCTGAATCTTACTGAAAGAAAACCATGTGGGCTTTGTAGTCCTTAGACTTAACTTGCACCACTGGCAGGACTCCTTAAGTATGCTAGGCCGAGGCAGCACTCTTAGATGACCCTAAGACAAGTGTACAGTTCAGGAAACCAATTGATTTTTATAATCATTATTTTATTAAAACAAAAGCATGTTTCTAGGTATCAAAACCAAACTAAGCCAAGGCAAATAAATAAGCATTGTGTTAGTTATTTACAACTCTGTAGTGAGGCAAAGAAAACATGAAAAATAGAAAAGTGTTCCAAAAACCTTACAAAAATACAAAAAGCCATTAAAAAGAATAAAAACAGTTCCAGTCCAGTAATTCATTAGTAAAAACAAAATAATCCAAGTAAGTTATAAAAAGGCTATAGTCCTCAGTGATTTTGTAGAATAAAAATCCTGTACCAAAAAGAAAAATTCAGTAAAAGTCCCATTGTCCTTACAAAATTACAAGAGCATAGTCCATATGAAGGATTCCAAAAATAACAGTTCATAGAGAAATAATCCATAGTCCTTAGGAAAAAGCCTATAGGTCCAAGGGTAATCCAGTATAGTACAAAGATCAGTCCATGTAAAGGTTGGTCCCGATAGACTTCAGGGTGTGTCACGAATGACTGAAGAGTAGGTCTTGAATGACAATGTCCATAGGCAAAAAGTTCCTTTTTCAAGAGTAACTGGCAAGGGCTTATCGCACCTTCCCATGATGTCATCCAATCAGAGTTCGTTACTAGGCAAACCATCCTGTTGCACCACATGACTTCTTTCCCATACACACCAGATGTTATTTGGGTTACTGTGGTTTAGCAAAGAGTCACAACAATTCCCATCTAATCACACCGAGTCCTTTTCTCAGGCTATCAGAATAACATTCTCTCTGCTCGCCTAGAAAACAACCTGTCAGCATAGCATAGATACTTTATACAAAGAAACAAGATGGAACCTCTCTTGCTCATTTCTTAATTACAAACCCCATATTCCTTACAAGATTTTAACTCAAAAACCCATCTCATCACAACCAAGGTGTCTACTTTTTCCTTCAGTTTGACATACAAATCCTCACATATAAGTTCAGTTTTTTTTTATTCTTGAAATCTGCCATGTACGTGAAGGCACTTCTCTCAATGAAACAGCTGGCTGAAACATTTGTTTGCATATAATCTCTATTCATCAGCATTTATTTAGAAATTTTTGGTTGTTATTTTTTTTTAATTTAATCCTTAAAACTAGGTGTAGGTAGAAATTTTTAATTTTAGAAGTTTTTTGTTTACATGATTATGCATTTGGAGCAAAGAACTTCCATCCCCACTAATTTGTTTTGTTTTGTTTTTTAATTGCAATACCATATCTTTAACATACATAATGCAATACATCTCTGTTATGTAGATCACTGAATACTTTGTAACACAGAGCTGGGCAAAGAGATTGCAAATTGATCATATTCTCAAGTGACTAGAATGGTCTGGAAACTAGCACTTGAATTCAATAGTGACTTTGTGTTTGAACAACTCCTGATTGTACACGTGAATGTGCATTTTCCACAGTTCTAGAAGGAAGCATCAGTTACTTCCTTACAAAGTAGTTTTTGTCATTTGCCCATGTGTTCTGGTGGCACAGCCGGCTGGCTCCATCTCCCCAAAAAGCAGTCACTGATTTTCACCTTGGAATGTTGGAAACTCCCAGACAGCTCTGTGAGTGTTTGAACGCGCAGGCGGAGTTATTCCGTATAGTGCACGACCTATCCAGAACTGATCTGGATGATAGGCCTCCCCCTAGTTTTTCACTTGACCAGTTTGCAGCCTTTTTAAAATCTAAAGTGGAGGCCATCAGACGGGACCTCTCTCCTTTTTTGAACACAGTGAATTGAGCAGAGATGTCCAGCGCTCCGTCTTGCCTGGTAACCCTTGACTCCTTTCAGCCTGTCACGCCTGATTCTGTGGCCAGAGTGCTTGACTGTTGTCGAGCCACCTCCTCCTCCTCGGACCCTTGCCTGGCCTGGCTAATCAAAGCAGCCAGGCCGATAACAACAAAATGGGCCACTGCAATAATTAATGGGTCTTTCCTTGAGGGCAGTTTTCCCTCTGCCCTCAAGGAGACACTCATTAGGCCCATAAGAAAGAAATCTAATTTGGCAGCGGATGAAATTGGCAATTATAGGCCCGTCGCCAATGTTTCTTTC